AAAAAAAGAGATTTCAGATATCCTCAGTAATAATCCCCCAAACTAACTGACTGACCCTAAAGACAATCAATAAAGCAATATGCGCTTCCAACAGTTTGTTCCCAAATCTCGTACAACAGAGCAGCATGACTGGGAATAGTATCACTAAAACACTATGATATGGCTTTAAAGCAACATACATGTGGTCATTGGAAAGTTCCAGAGCCGGATGTTGTTCAAAGGTTATGGTGCTTGAAGATATGTAGATCTGAGAAACAATGCCAGCGATGATGAGGTCTCCCGACTGATAATATTTGTGAATTATAGGAACAGGTTCATTGATAGAACATGGAGGGAGAGGAGCAAGAATGCATATCCCCTGGGACAGCAGTAGGAACACTACCACCCCAAATACTACCATCTTGTAAAGAGTTTAATGGTAGACACCAAGCCATCTGCTCTGTGATTCTTATTCAGCGGAATCTGAATGATCACTCACCCAGCTGATTCAAGGGCAAAAAATACAGAATAAAGAATAGGTGGCCATTCAGAGCTATGTCTATAGGCCCAGCTCTGAGTGATTCTTAGATATTAATAACATCCCTTAGTCTTTGATTGTTATTTTGCATGGGACCAGTAGACCGCTCCAAGGATAGGGGGAAGAAGTACAAATAATGGTGATTAATTTGATAATTGCAGGTCTGTTAAGAACTTGATCTGATTCATTGTTTCTCTGCAATATTGCAAAAGAAAACATGTTTTTCACATCTCAGCTGAAATCTTCTCTGGACAATCCTCAGTGGAAGGAAGTTTTAACTTGTTATAGTTACAAATGTGTTCACAACTGAGGTCTTAAAATGAAAAACAGCACAGGCATGTAACTGGTTTGAACTATATTTAATCACTGAAGTGGAATTAACTTTTGCAGAAGTTCCAAATGGACCCTTATTTTGAAAACTTGAATGTTTTCGAATTCAAATGAAAAACCACATTTGGTCCTTCTTTGTGGTGTCACTGCATCTGGGGGGGAGACAGTCAATAGACCTTCTTGTGCCACCATGCCCACTGATTAGATGTCTGGCACATGGGCTCTGTCTGGATGAAGTGGGCAAGGCCTGGAAACAGACCAGAGTGGAGACTCTACCTCTATGACCCACTCTGCAGATGTGTTTTATTTTTTAAATTAATTACCCGCCCTTCACCGCGAGGTTATGGCAAGCTGCAACAAATAGAAAATAAAATTTTAAAATAGATACAAAAGAGTAGAATTTCAACATCTCCAGTTTCTCCTCCTGTCTCCAGCTGATCCAGCCTTTCACGGATAACACATGCTTTGAACATGAACACCAAAATGCTTCCCTTAAAAAAAACCTGGAGATGTTTGGACTGTGTTTCATAGTAGTCATGTTTGGTGCTCCTTGTTGTGGTCTTCACTGCAAAAGAGAGAGAACCCTGAAGATACTGCGAGTCATTAGGAGAAATCGAGAAGTCCAAGCTGATTTCATGGAAAGCTGTTGTGATCCAGACTTTTGCCCCTATTTCCTTCTCATACACACTGAGTATTGAGCAGGGTACAGTGATTTCCATTACATTGGTTACATAGCAAAGAAACATCCTGACTTGTCTCCAGAGGAGGAAAGGTTCACTTGGGCTGATCGGGTTTTAAAAATGATTCACATTACTTTCTTTCAATGTTTTGGATAAGGCAATGCAAATCCCTCTGCTGTGGCTCAGGCCTTAAGCAACTCAGGCCTGCGACGCATGTCTCAAACTTCAACACTTGCACACTGACATCAGCAGAAGTCATGTAAATCTTTTCCAAAGTACAAAACTTAAACAGACTGACAAATACTCACCTTTTCTCCACACAAGCTATTATAGCAACAATTATGGATTATTTTTTCTGGAATTGCAATAAGTATTCAGTTGCTTCTGTTGATTAAAAAAATAAGGTTTTGATCCAGACCGTTTTAGTAGTTTAGCCTATTTCACTCGAAGATAAGTACTGTTATGAGTCTGGATCCAGCCCAGTATCTCACATATATTTTCTTTTGTCTAGATATTTAGAAGTCAATTAAACATAAATATTGTACATCACTGAGACTATTCTAGGTTTCATTTCTTTCAGTCTATTCTAAATATGAGTAAGGCTAGATCCAAATCGCAGTTCACATTGCATTTTATCTACAGTAAATAAATAATAAAGAATGCAACGGCAACATAGGTCTCAGTCCAATAAATTACAGCACAATTTAGCTCATGTGTATTATTTTTCTTTATTAGATTCCTAGACTACCCTTCATTCGAAGATCACAGGGCAGTTTACAGTATAAAAACATAAAAATACATACCACAATAACAAAACCAATACACACCCCCTCAGTATGAAAGGCCACAGGAATGAGTTATTTCTCCCTGGCTTAATTCCTGTCACTTACACATTGCTAATTTAAAATGGACCAGGACCAAATAATTTAGAATATTTCATGTTACGATATGGATGCAATGCAGCTGCAAACTGCTAGCTTGAAAACATCACATGATGGAATGTTGGGACTGTTCCGTGGGAAACAGTGGGACAGTCAATTCACAGGGCAATGCACCGGAATTAGCTCAGAGTGTAATATGAACTCTTCCTCTTGCTCTTGTACAGGAAGTCTGTGTCACTTGACTGCTGGAGTTTGAAGAGAGCAGTCATGTTTTCTGTAATGCTGCAAAGACAGAAATAAAAGCATGTAAATACGTTTCTGTCTATCTCCTTTTCCCTGCCGGGGGAGCAGGAAGGAGGGGGGGTGTTCTTCCCACGTTTGGGAAGAATCGCCTATTGAGACCTAGCCTGGATCTTGCTGGGAATGCAGCCAGGGAGGTCAACAGGAGACCAAGCCGGGTGCCTGGGAGAGTTGCCAGTTTCTCCCGATAAAGGCTTGATTTCCGACATTTCATTGTTTTGTTCTTCTTAGCTGTTCCTTGTTGTTCAGCTCAGGTCTCAACAGAATGATATAGAGCTTTGGAGCAAAGATACAAACCAGTAACCCAGCACTGGAGGCCAAGATGGAGAAAATCTCCACGGCAACCATATATTTCCCCCTTGTGCTGAGATAGGTTGGGACAAAGGTCAACCAAACACTGCAAAAGACCAACATACTGAAGGTGATAAACTTGGCCTCATTAAAACTATCAGGCAACTTACGGGCTAAGAAAGCAACACAGAAGCTGACAGTGGCAAGCAAACCCATGAAGCCCAGGACGCAGTAAAACAAGGCGACTGAGCCCTCATTACATTCTAGTATAATTTCTTTAACAACTGAGTGCATGTTGAAATCTGGGAATGGGGTAGAGGTTGAGAGCCACACCGTGCAAATAGTGGTTTGAATGAGAGAGGAGCCAAGAACAATGGAAACAGCCAGTCTCTTCCCCAACCATTTCCTCATTCGGGATCCAGGCATGGTGGCCATGAAAGCTAGAACGACAATGGTGGTTTTGGCCAGAACACAAGACACAGCTGCCGTGAAGATAATGCCAAAAGCAGTTTGTCGAAGGAGACATGTCAGTGTTTTTGGTTGGCCAATGAACAGCAAAGCACAAAGGAAGGCAAGAAGGAGGAACATGAGGAGAGTGTAGGTGAGATTCCGGTTGTTGGCTTTGACAATGGGAGTGCCCTGGTGCTTAACAAAGATGCCAAGCACTAAAGCTGTAATGAATGAAAAGGAAAGAGCCAATATTGCCAGAGTCATCCCCAAAGCTTCTTCATAAGACAGGAAACTTATGACTTTTGGAATGCATGAATCCTGGGCATTATTTGGAAACTGATCCTCTGGACATTGCAAACAGTCATCCATGTCTGGAAAAGAAAACATAAGGTTTGAAATACGGAAGCCCTGTTCACAGCGGAATAATCAAGAATAAAGAAATAATAATAATCACTAGTTGGGGTAGCCAATATTAATTCTACAAAACCTAGAAAGATGTGTTCTTGGTAGATGTATGACAAACATATGTCTGTCTTTCGTATGCAATTACGGTATATATTCAGGATACTGTACTCAGAGATAGTAGGCGTAGAACCTAATTGTGGATTCCAATCAGAAGTGGATACTATCCCTGGAAATTTCATCCAGTTCTGTAAAAAAGGGGGGAGAACATTCCATAGATGGGGAGCCACTGCAGAGAAGACCCGCTCTCATGTGACCACCCTCCTGGCCTCTCAAGGAGGCGGCACACGAAGGAGGGCCTCGGAAGATGATCTCAGGGTCCAGGTAGGTTCATATGGGAAGAGGTGGTCCTTGAGGTATTGCGGTCCTGAGCCATTTAAGGCTTTATAGGTCAAAACCAGCACTTTGAATTGGGCCCGGAAACTCATAGGTAGCCAGTGCAGTTGGACCAGGATTGGTGTAATATGTTCAAACTGTCTTGTTCCCTTGAGCAACCTGGCTGCTGAATTCTGCACTAGCTGAAGTTTCTGAACCATCTTCAGAGGCAGTCCTACGTATAACACATTGCAGTAATCTAACCTTGAGGTTACCAGAGCATAGACAACAGTAGTTAGGCTATCCCTGTCCAGATAGGGGAGTAGCTGGGCCACAAGACGAAGCTGGGTCACTTTGCACTACCCATGCAAAGTAAAATTAAATAACACAGCATGTGCAAAGAGATAGTTAAACATCTTGAGATTAAGTCATTTGTGAAAGTGTACCATTATACTACTTACCCTTCTGGTTTGAGATCTTCCCTTCTGGACAGGGAAGGCAATCATAGCAGCAGAATGGCTCCCCTTCCTTCTTGGTTCGACTATAACCCAAATGGCAATTGTCATTACAAAGAGAAAGGGGCAGTGCCTGTACATAAAATCATAGAAACATATATGCTATAAACATGGTGTCCCCAGACTGACTCCAACATCTGCATCCCTTAGGACAGGCGTGGGGGACCTTCAGGTCTTGGCAATGCTTGCTGGGAATATGGGTGTTGCAGTTCAGAAAAATCTGGAGAGCTGAAGGTTCCTCACTCTTGCCTTCTGGGAAGGGCCATAACTCAACAGTAGAATATCTGCTTTGCATGCAGAAGCTCCTGGGTTCAATCCCAGGCATCTCCAGTTAGGGTTCAGAAAGACCTTGGTCTTGAGCCCCAGAGACCAGTTGCCAGTCAATGTCAACTATACTGAGCTAGATGGGTCAGTTGTCTGGCTGGTTATAAAGCATCTTCCCGTGTTGCTATGTATATTGAATGGAACGTAAGAAAAACAGTGTCTAGAAACATCTCATCATATCATGATTACCATTAAACTTCTTTATTTCATTTATCACTTTGATGCAAAACAACCTGAAGGCATCTTACAATATACAGAATAAAGTAAAAATGCAAGAATAGCACAAGAGGGTAAAAACACAACGAACAACAAAGCACTAAATAGCATCATGCACTAGTTCTCATAGAGTTGTATGCCTTATGTAGTCCATGCAATTAGGACAACTGTATGAGCAGGGTCTTCACTGCACCAAGTCCCTATAAATAGATAGCCATGTGCATATGTAAACAAACATGTTCACATCTGCCACGCAACATGCAAACATGGCGGACACGATTAGCAATAGCACAGTTTGTGGCATGCTCCAAAGGGTGTGAGCCTACCTGCCAGGGTGTAAATGAAGATGCAAAGGAAGATGACTACAGACAGATGTTTTGCCATGACACTTTTTAGACAGAGCCCACAAAAATGGGCCTGAACTGTACCTGGTTAAATCTGCTGGGCCACACAATTGCATCCTCATGAATGGTGAACTGTTTGCCCAAGGCGGCTTGTGGGTCTATCCCGCCAACTCTTACTTGAAGAATGGACTGGTTTGCGAATGTCACCCAGTTCATTATATCAAATGCAGACTCCAGTTCTCCATTTTGGTTGAAATAAACTTTTTCCCCAGCACTATTATTAAAGACGCTACTTCTCACCCAGTGGCTGAGCTAAATTCAGGAGGGGGAAAGAGAAGGGGAATAGAAGGGGAATTAATAACTATATAGGTAAAGGTAAAGGACCCCTGGATGGTTAAGTGCAGCGACTATGGGGTGTAGTGCTCGTTTCGCTTCAGGCCGAGGCAGCCGGCGTTTGTCCACAGATAGCTTTCCAGGTCATGTGGCCAGCATGACTAAACTGCTTTTGGCACAACAAAACACCTTTACGGAAGCCAGAGCCCATGGAAACGCTGTTTACCTTCCCACCACAGCAGTACCTATTTATCTACTTGCACTGGTATGCTTTTGAACTGCCAGGTTGGCAGAAACCGGGACAGAGCAACGGGAGCTCACCCTGTCGCACGGACTCGAACTGCCGACCTTTTGATCGGCAAGCCCAAGAGGCTCAGTGGTTTAGACTACAGCGCCACCTGCATCCCCAAATATAACAGATATAGCAGGTTGATGATGAGCTTTCCCACTTGAGGGATATGAGGAATGGGTCCTTCAACAAAGGATTTATAAAGACTAGTAGTATATGCAATTGTAGTTATCAAGCACTAAAAGCCCCACATCTCCACCATCTTCTTTGTCATTACCTTCATTCCATCAAGAAGAATGCTTAACAACCAAGCAGCCTTTACATCTTATGAACAAGTAAGGCTTGTTACTACATTTTTGTTTAGAATAAAGGAGGGTTAAGCTCCACCAACTGAAGGGATTTTTAAAGAGGTTTGAAGAATTCACAGGGGATAAGGCTGTCAGTGGCTGCTGGCCATCATGTCCATGTTCTGCTTCCATGGTTGAAGGCAGGATGCCTTTGATTGCCAGTTGCTAGGAATCAAAATTGGGGTGAGCCCTGTTGCAATCAGGTCCTATGGGCATCTGGCTGGACATTGTGAGAAGAGGATGTTGGAGTAGATGGGTCATTGGCCTGATCCTGCAGGATCTTCTTATGTCCTCAAGTAAGTGAATGCAGACAACTGACCTTCTGTATATGCTTTCTTAGTATATTATATTACTACTGCTGCTTGGGGAATTTGCTGAATTTCAGCAAGATTTTATATGATGCATCTTTTCATGAAAAACAATTATACAAAAGACACAGACCATTCTGCAGCAGCTGCCATTTGGCATTAAATAAAACTCCTGTTGCAATCTCCTGTTAGTGAGATGAAAGGCCTATCCCCATTCAGGATGAGTCCTCACTGAATTCCCTGGCAGCTTCTATTGACAGATGTAAAACAGATTCATAAAACAGTGAATCATGTTTTCAACAATACATGTAATTTGGTCTTTAGATGCTAACCACTAATAATAATAAAAATAAAATTATTACCTATTCAGGTTGAGTAAGTTAAAAAGTTAGGTGAAGATATAACACGATTAGGGAATAGAGGATATAGCAAAAAACAAAATTTAACGTGGTAGACCACTAGTCGAGAAGGAGGGAGGTCAAAGGCTCATTGCAGCCAAAAAGTGTGTTAATGAAAACATAATGTGATGTAATGATAGTATATGTAAAAATTAATGAAAATTGTTATATAGAAAAAAAGAAGCTAACCACTGTTGGTGAGAACAGAAGCTTTTCAAACACTCTGGATTCTTCCCTTTTTTATTATTTCCAAGGGTATGGGGAGCATTCCTGCATTATTGCGCTCCTGATCTTACCTTCCACACCTGTTGATTCCAAAACTTCAGCCATCCTCCACCCAAGATTGCTCTGTGTTTGAATTGAGATGAGTGTACGGCATGCAAGGCATGTGCCACAGCATAGACTGCATTGTAGATGCTGTAGCTGTGGCCAGTCATGCTCGCTTGAAAAATAGACCCCGGAAGAGTCTCCAGCTTCTCCCCCCTGTGCAAATTTTGCCATCCTGCATATTTTCCCCAGAGTCAGGGAAATAGCACGCAAATGCCTTTTCCCAGTATACCTTCATAAAGCCATCTTCTTTTTCCAAGATGGGATTTCTCATCTGAAAAAATCCCTGGAATCCCAAGACCTCCTTTGAGTGAATTGTGAAGGATAGAGCACCATGGAGGAAGTCAATGTCCAGATCTCTTTGAAAGGGAAGTGATGTGAAATCCATCTGGACTGTCATGATCCAAACTTTCCCTTTAGCCTTCATTGGAATACCTTCATATTCTGACAATTCAGGAACTGCTCTCAAAAGTGTCATGGAATCAATTTCACCATGAATGAGCAACACATTGACAGTACTTCTCATGGCAATATTAAATGTTTTGAGCGCATCTGTAACCACGTCTGTAACACTGCTAGAATATGTAATTGTTGGAAATCTTTCCATGAAATCAAAGCAGATTCCTCTCAGGATAAATTTTGGAACCACGCTCTGTATAAACCTGTCTCCATTCTCGTCATTCACAGTCAACAAACCAGTCCATGTCCACCTGAAATGTAGCAATAACTTGAGAATCCCTTCATACTGATGGTCTAGATTTGGGAACATTTGGTGGTAGAAAGCAGCTTCAGTTTTCATTTTCCCCACTGGAGCAGAGCCATAGATGAGCTAAATGAAAGGTAGGAAATGACGAGATGAGATACTTTTAAAAAGGGTGAGGTGGTTTACTTTTTAACTTGTATTGGCAGCAGTTAAAATCCAACCTAGATTTCAGATTTGTTGCTGTTGTTGTTGAGTGCTGACGACCTGGGAGTTTTTCAGTTTTTCTCAAGCTTAAGAGAAAGTGGTGGAATTCAAAGGTATAAATATGCTGACCAATTCTCTAAACCAGAGCTTTCCGAACTTTTCATGTCAGTGACACACTTTTTAGAGATGCATCATTTCATGACACAGTGATTCAATTTTACTAGCAAACTGGAGGTTAAACTAATCCTTTTCCATCCGTGGGAGGAGTGTGGGGAGCATTCGTGCGACACAGCGACACACTAATGTGTTGCGACACACAGTTTGGAAAGCTCTGCTCTAAACCAACTATCCTAGCAAAGGAATTCATTTTGTCCTCACTTGTGAAACTATAGTGGCAGAAAGTATATACTGAAAGAGGGTTGTGCCAGTCTACTCAAACAATTGCGTGCATTTGCCTTTCGTGGTTGTCCCATGTCTTACATTACACTGGCATAGCAGGTCTTCCACCATATTCTGTTGTTGGATTAGAACTCCCATAATCTATGAGCACTGACCACGCTGTCTGGGGCTGATGAAAGTTGGATTTCAATCACATCTGAAGGACACCACACTGGTATATTTACTCTAGTCCCATAGCCAGTTTGCTTCAAGCATAGATCAGCACAATTGGACACAAGTATTTATATTAAGATATCTGTCCAGCTCTTCACCATTTATTTCCATGGCAGTTATCATATATTAAGCAATAAGGGAAAAGAGCAAAGGGAAAAACAAATGAAAAAGGATAAACGCAGTGACAGTTGTAAAGGTACAGCTGATCATCAGAACTTGCAAAGTGCCATGCCTTTGCCTCAGAAGAAGACCCAATGGTCTGGGTAGTTTGACATCATGAGAGGTGCTCTGGGAGAATTTTACCTGTGGAATCTTGTAGATGCTCAGTATAGTTGCCATGTGGAGACAGACTTCAGAGTTAGAGCCTCCAATGACTGCTACGGGGTTATTCTGGAGGTCACACTTGTAGTTGGGGATGTATCTGCCATATGTAGAGAGGAGTTCCAAGGAGACACGATAGGTCCAGCTTGGACTGAACTGACTGTTATAGATGTGGAAGCCCAGGGTGAGGTTGGGTAAGATTTGGGGGTTTACATTGATCTCCTTTACAGCAAATACTAATGCCAGGATATGTTGGTAGAGCTGAGTCATAATCCTGAAATAATAGTTGTGTACATGTTGTGCCACAGTGTGTTTCCTTCTGGATGGGACATCTGCTACACTTCAGTTGAGCTAATAATATTTTACAGATCAATCTATCTCAGTCTAGGGAAATCTGGAGGAACATTAGCACACACAGATTCCAGCCCTAAACTGGGGAACTAAGCCTTTTAAAAAAAGAGTTTGACTTACACAATCCCTTTTGCTAATGTTGCTTCCACTGGGATGCTAGGTCATTTGAAGGAAACCCAATAGAGTATGGAATAGATCTCCACCTGCCCCAACACTGCCCGGACCTGGGACATCTCCCCTTTCGGGGGCTTAC